ATATATATATGTGTGTGTGTATGTATGTTTACACATACATATATATGGATTATTTGTTGTATATATGTATGTATTGTTTATGCCAAAGAAATGTTTACTGTTCCGGCGGAGCAGGAGACGCAGCTGGTGCTGCAGCTGATGCACGTCTGCCGATCTCAGTTTCCAATGGATGAGATTCAATTGACTGTCCTTGAAGCTGGGGCAATGCGCACATCTGCTCGAGCAGATCGAAACCATTTCGCCAGATGAGCAACTGGGCTCGCAACTTCAATTTGTTGCGATTTTTAATCAAATGTCTCTCCATGGCAAAGCCCTGGCGGGCGCAGGCAAAGTCGCAGGCGCGCTGCCTCAAAACAGGACAAATATCGTTGTTGCCGTCGCCGACGTAAAATACATGATCGTATCGTATATTGAAACGCAGATCCTGCTCAATTACAAAATGCTCCAAAACACGGCCCTTGCACAAATTGCTGGCGCTCAGCTTACAATCCGTTTGCTGATGATGCGGACGCACTTGAAGCTGGCCGTGCTCATCGAAATGAGCGGGATTTGTAAAGATGGCCTTGAAGCAATCAGACAAATTGTGGGCGCGTAGCCACTCATCAATGAAAACACTATTTGAATCGCTAATGATGATCAAATCGAAGTTGAGACGCTTTTGCAAGTGCTTTATCAGGCGCACGAATCCAGGTACCTCCGGTATACAGCGTATAACGTCACGAATGCGCGACTCCTGGACTTGTTGCGCATGCAACAAACGAAATATCTCAGCCATATACTCTGTCCAGCATTCGCTTTCCATTAGATCGGTGAGTGCTTTTGAGCTTATCAATTCATTGGGTAGCATGTCGCGCACCACTGTGTCTGTATTCTGGGATACAATTGTATGATCAAAATCGAAGGCAGCCAAACGACGACGCTGCTGCTTGCCCAGTCCGCAAGACGCTGCTGAGACAGTTGATACTGCTGCTGCTCCTGTAGACATGTTGACTGGCTTTTGCATATGAATATGCAGTAGATGCCTCTTAAATGGGATTTTTAGAGCCCACTGGTGGGCAGCACCAGCAGCTTGACTTTTGCTTCTGCTTTCGCTGTATGTATGTATTTCGGATTTAGCTTTGGGCAACTTTGACAGTAGCTTTATTAGCGTTGGCGTTGCCATCCGATTGGAAGCTTCTGGCATGGCCACCTTTAAGCGGTGGCGGCGATGGTGTGAAGCGCCCCTTGTTCGATGTTTGAATTCAATTGCAATTTTATCGATAAGCATTTAGCTTCAGCATTTTTTATAATTCGATTAAAAAATTTCGAAAGCCCTGAACTGTTTTTTATCAAATAAAAATTATAAATTTTATTTTATCAAATAAAAATTATAAAAAATATTAATATAGATGGCACCACAATATAATATTTTCAATATCTCATTGCTTCTAAATAATTGATCGAATTAACCAGATAACAATTCAATGTCAGTATGTTTACTTTTCCTTCAACAGAATATTGACCTTACTTAAGTATGTATAAGTTTTTTTTCAAGATTTTTATTCAGATTTCACATCAATTTTAAATATGCAGTACAAAAATTTAAAGTATCGCCAGGATATAATTCCTAGCATTGAAATATCGATGTATCGATACACGGTTAGCAACCCTAAATCTTCATTTCCATTTTGTCGTGACGAGTACGGTAGTGTTATATTCCAAGCGAAAAAGAAAAAACACTGTCAGACAGCGAGCAGAGCATACATTTAATAATGAATTGTTAAAACGATAGGTGCGCGCCGAATTAAAATTGCGTATGTTCGTATGATCAGTTGAAACAGTTAACAATAAACGCTATTTTTTTTATAACAAATTTATGCGTCGTCGTCTGCTGCTGTTCAATCGTTAAAAAGTGCGTGGAAAAGTGTACGAAACCAATACACGGAAAGTGGGACAACCGAGCGCTGCGCTTGTTGGTGTAGTGTGCTGTGCGTGTGTGCTATATGTGTGTGTAGTGTGTAGTGTGTATGGTTGTGTGCGGTGTGTGCTGTRTGTTTGTGTGCGAGACGAGTACAAGTACGGGTAATTTGTACCGACTACAGTCTCATCAATGTGTACGACAATGTTTTTTTTGTATATTAAATAAATATAACGAAAAAGTGCAACGAAATGTTTACAAATTGTGCAAATAAAAACAAAACATGTTCCATGTCTTAACACACATCGACAAAGACACGCGCACACCAATATACACGCGAATTGCATGCAAAGAGAAGGCGCTCAACTTCTACTCCATCTTCTTTTGTCTGACGTTTTGCCGCATGGTGAGTTTATTGCCTGCCTGCCTGCCAGCCAGCCAGGCTGCCTGCTGTTGTTGTTGGATCGGTTTTCGGCGTCTTTTACTATGTAGCAGAGTTTTTAAAATGTGTTTTTGCTCTCTCTCTATCTTTTTCACTCTTTTCTTGCTAGTTTTATTTCATTTTGTGATTTTTTTTTGCATTGCCTTAGGCGCGTTGCGCTCGGATTTGTTGTTGCCTCTGACGCTGTTCATTTTTGTTGTTGCATAGGCGCCGTTGTCGTCAGTTGCGCGGGGGTCAATGATGTAGATGCACGTATAAAAGTACATGTGCGTGTGTGTGTGTGTGTGTATTTGTGCATGTGTCTGTACATTGTGCACGAGTATGTATGTATTTTCTCCATGCAGCGGCACGGGCGATTGCCTCTCATGTTGGTATCGGTTCGGATGTGTGTGTACCGTGCTGTGGTGAATTTCTGTCTCGGGCCCTGGTGAATTTAGCAGTGTTGCCAACACATACACCACGTCGTAGCCGCTGCCAGTTGTTGTTGTAGTAGTGCGTACCAATGTGGCGCGGTTTTCTCAATTTCTGCTGCTCGCGACAGACAGCTGTGTGCCGCGCATGTTTCAACGCTTACGCAGCGTATTATTAACAACGTTAGTGTTATTTTTGCTGTCGATGTTGTTGTTGTTTTTTCAGCGTCTCATTACGTTACTGTTTACGCGGCATTTTCAAGAACAAATTTCATGCACTAAAGTATTTCCATCGATCATTTTTCCCTCTCTTGGTGTTATTTCTATAAATAACAAACAATAAGCAAATTGCGTTTATTTTTTGTTCTCCTATGTTTGGTTACCGGCGACTTTCTGTATGTGTGATACTTAAGTTACTGTTACTTGACGTGAATAGCGAGATTGCAAGAGTAAAATGAAAACAAAACAATACATATACACACTCTCGCATGTGTGTGCGGATTAGTCCATATAATTGCCGCTAGTTGATGTAAATTGTTTATTTAATAGCCAATCACAGAGGCGGTACTTTGAAGTAACGGTGCAACGCACAGGCATGCATACACACTTAAAATTTTAAGAGAGAGCAGAAAGAGAAGGAAAGAAAGTAAGTGATATAGTTTCGATATACGCATTATTTATTAATTACAATTACTTAAATAATAGCATATAATTTAAAAAAAAAACTGATCGAAAAATCTCTGTCAAATATCAACAAATTTAGTGCTGTGCTGTTGTTGCGTACTGCGTGTTGTTGCCTATATATGAGTGTGTGTGTTTGTTCGCATGCGTGTGTTTATCTTTCGGCGTATGCGAGAGCGTGCAGCTGAGTTCGTTCTCCTTTTCTGTTGCAAAAATGCGCTTACTCTTAATACTGTGATTCTTATTACTATTACTATGCTATTACTTCCCCATATTCTGTAACCATACACCTCCTCTTTTAATGGAATGCGCTGAATGTGAGACGCACGCATAGACATACATACATCATCATCATGACGACGAYACATACATATGCAGACAACTTGCAGCTAAAGGCACCTGATATTTTCTGGCTGCGGCTGGAGCTATTGATATCGGATATTTGTTTGCTTTTCATTGATGCTTTCATAGTTATCTAAATTTTTGTCCTCCTTATCCCTATTGCTATTGCTCTGACTATCATCAACCTTGTCATCGCTATCTGGAACAATATCATCATCAGAATCGTCTTCGTAATCATCATCGCTTTCATCCTGATCCATACGCAACATTTTCTCCAACTGTAATCGTGTAAATCGAAATATCGGCTCTGGCCTATGCAGTTGATGACATCCCCAATAGAATATCGCTTCCGTCCCGTCACCCAACACTCCATCTGTATCGATCATCAACTGACCATCGATTGTTTCCTCATTCTCATCCGTCTGGTTGGCAGTATCCTCAGTTGGGCTGGATGTGCCAGTGTCCGCCGTGGTCGTTGTTGTAATTGTTGTTGTTGTCGTGGTCGTCGTGATTGTCGTTTCCGTATCCGTATCCGTATCCTTTTCGTTCCATGCAATGCAGCACATGCTACATGGCTGCTGGTGTTGTTGTTGTCTTTTCGTTGGCTTCACATCCTTCAGCTCGCGGTAGATGACACAAAACAGCAGCCAAGCGCCAGCTAATGCCATCATAAAATGTTCCATAAATCCAAAGCGACATTTACCGGCAGCGACTGGCATCAATATTAGATTTGTACCCGGAATCCGACCACCAGTTGCCAATGCACGGAATAGGCCCAATTGGTCTTTCACTGGCTGCCAAAGTGGTGCGAATATCGACTGCAGCAACATCAAAATAAAATTTTCTGAAAACCAAAAAGTCTCTCAAAAACAAAATAATATCAAAACAAAAACACATCTTAAATAAACAACAAACTAAATAAAACTCAAGCAAAGCAACAAGAAATCGCAAATCC